CTAATGACATTATTTTACACTTTTTTATGGCTGAGTAATATTCCACTGTATATACACACCCCAACTTCTTTATCCAGTCACCTGTCGATGGACGTTTAGGTGGCTTCCACGTCATGGCTATTGTCAGTAGCGCTGCTGTGAACACTGGGGTGCATGTATCTTTTCAAATTAGAGTCTCCTCCAGATAGATCTCATTTTCTTTTCAAAATTACCCTCAAAGAGGCATCACCCCTTCAACCTAGTAATTCCCTTCTGGGAGTCTAGCCTAAAAAAAAAATAATTTAAAATATAAAAAAGAACTTTACTAGCAAAGCTGTTCTTCAATATCCAATCAGCTTTCCTATAACGCTTACTTTAAAAACACCAACTTTGTTCCAACACCTCTGATGTATTAGGGAATGATTTTATCAAAATACTAAATTCGCAATGGCTTATGTCTTGTTTTGCCCGCCAGAAACACTAGGTGAATGCAGAAAACCATACCCCGGTGGGCTGAGCCGCCAAAGAACACAGGAATGGCGTAGGCACACACCTCACACCTCTGTCAGCTGCCTCTGAGCCACGCTCACCCTATCTGGGGGCCACCTGATCTCAGATAACCCTCCTGCCACAGCCTCAGAAGCTGCAACCCTTCCCACCCACGGCCACAAGCAGCCTGCAGGCCTCTTTCCTGGCAAAGTGCCATATTTATTGTATCGATTGAGATAAAACAGCATAACGTGAGTTGTTTTATTGGGGGCAAAAATGAGGACTGTAGCCTGGGAGACAGCATTCCAGACAGCTCTGAGGAACTGCTCCAAAGAGGCAGGGGGGACACTCAGTATTAGATATGATTTCAGTGAAGGGGGCACGTGCAGTCAAGCACACAATTAAGGCAGAGGCTGCTGCTGGTCACGAGGAGCAGACGTCATTGTTAATGATTTTAGTGCTTTTCTAGATATGAGGAGACGCAAGAATCTGGGCTCATAAATCTTCTCTTGAAAAATACCTAACTATCTGAAGGCCTGTTCTGCCAGTTATCCCAGAGCACGGAGCTCTGCATTCCTGATCTCAGCCCTGAACTCCGTGCAGAGTGTGTTGGAGGTCGGCAGCTGCAGCGGCGCGCGAGTTAATCCAAGCAGAGGTGGACGGCAAGTGCCAACGGGACCCAGCCCTTGCAGAGGCAGGTGGCAAGTGCCAATGTTTAGCTGGCAGTTGTAATAATTTTGTGTTTCTTATCTGCAAAACCTGGGTAAACTGTGCTGCTTGCTTTTAGGTTCCTATCTTTTTTTTTCCCTCCTAACGTGCTCCAGGTGACATTTTTGAGTGTTGTGCCCTTAGCCCCATTTTTCTCACAAGGCTTCTGATTTTTATTGCATAATTTTGCACAGTTCTGGGATTTTTAGGAAGGCAAATTTACATTACAGCAGAACTGTATTATGTAAAGGGCTAAGCATAGCGCCTGGCACATGATATGCATTTAATCAATTTTAACTTACTAGTAAAAAAAAAAAAAGTGTAGGGATTCCTTAAATATCCAAGAAGATTAAGATCATGGGGACACTGAGGCATCCCAGAAGGTATGTGCGAAGCATTTAGAATAATACAGGATGAGGCTTTCAGAATGAAAGATGGCATAAACGCTGTAGGTAGGCATGATCAAAACCCTGCACTAAAAAATCTTTTTCTCCATAAAAATCAACTAAGCCTGGAAGGAAATACATCAGAATATCAACAGCAACTGATGAGACAGGGTAATTTTTTTTCTTTTCTAATTAAAATTATTTTTTAATTTGTACTTTACTCCTAATTTTGCAAAATCATAAGCCTTTTAAAAGCATAAAGATAACATAAGATCACAACTAAAGCAATTTTCAAGAAGCAGAAAAACCATCTTCACGACCACACACTCCCTGTGTCCGGCATGTAAGGACCTGTTTCACCCACAGCTATGAGAGCCAGCACACCCTGCCCAAGGCAGCTTTTTTCCATTAAACACTGTATCAAACACTTCCCTTTCCATCCTGTCTTCAGAATCAAGATTATTTTTAACGACAAGAATTTTGAAACTATATAGCTTATGACTTTTACTTTGTATCTAGTAATGAAATCGAGACCATTTTCTTTGGAAATCGATTTGAGAATCAAATTGACTTTGCGCAAAAATCAATCCTACGCTCCCTTTTTTCTCCCGAGATCAACTGATGGTTTATCAAGGAGAAGAAAGAAAAAGAGGCTCCTTATCGTGAGGCTGCTCATGTTTATTAGGTTCTGAGCCTCTGCAAGACGCTCGTCTGGAAATCCGTACTGAGAGTCCGATCCTGACAAGCCTCTGACAAACTGGGATTTCTTATGGCTTCGTACACCAGGGAAATCCTCAGGAAGGCCTTCACTGCCTAGGCTGCCAGGAAAAAAACCTGCCAGATCTAGGACAGGAAGAGGAGATGGTACCGGCCATCCCTTCCCCAGCTCACCGCCAACTGGTTACCCAGGTGCCCTGTCAAAATGGAAGTTCTGGTCGCGGCCACCACCTAGGCAGAACTTCTGGCCTCTGCTGCCAAGATGGCCATGCCTGAGAACACTGAAGTGGGGAAGAAGTTATGGTCCAAGATTAGAGTCTTTAGTAAAGGAATACCTGCTTCAGCTTCAACCAGAAGGGGCTGAGTACACAGCACCTCTCCAGGGTGGGAGAGACCAGTCACAGTGATCTCTGATCCAAGATGGGTCTTCCTCAGCTGGAAACTCAGCCCAGAGCCTCAAGTTCTAGTCCCTCCTCTCCCTGGGCCTGGGTGTTCTTGCACATAACACGAGGCTGAGTTAGATCAGAGGGTCACACACTAAAGCCAGGCAAGTAACATAATGAATTGCCCAGGTGTATCAGCCATCACACAGCTCTCCTAGTCTAGCTTTCTCTTGTTTTAATTGTGAGAAATCATAGGTTTGGGGGGGGGGTCGTGAGCTGTGGTGCAGTCAGCTCACAGCTTTGAGCACTAGACTCACTTTCAAAAGGGTCCATGTGCCCTGGAGAACCAGGAGGAGACAAAATAACTTGTGAATCAGATGGGCTCCTTTGCATGAAACTTCCAAGGTAGTACAGGGGAGTTCTGGGGGCTAAAGCAGGCAGAAATGACAATCGAAACTGACAAGGGGAAATCTTACCAGCCTAGAAGCAAAGTTCTGCATTTAGGTTTGAAAGAAAATGAATCATATGAAGCCAGGATGCATTAGGGGACAGAGACAAGACTGCAATTGAAAGCCAGCCCCTAACAGAGAACAACCACTAGTGAGATCCAGCAGCACGCACTAAAAACACCGAGTGAACCTTCTGGAGAAAGTGGAGGATATGAGGAGCTGGTCAAGGGTCCAGCTGCCCTCATCGTGGTCAGAGCACGCCTGGAAGAGCATGCTCCACCCGGGGAAGGCAAGGACACTGGCAGGGTGTCCAGGGAGAGCCGCAAGGCTGAGGACAGCTTCCTGGAGCCACTGGGAGGAAGATGCAGCTCTGAGAAGGGTAAAGAAAAGACGTGTGAGTGAAGAATACGCTGGCTACCCTCCAAGACATGCGAACCCTCAGGCAGAGAAGGGCAGCAAATTCAGGCAGCAGAGAGCCACGGGTATGAGTGTTACAGAGGCTGGCCTCTCCAACCACAAAACCTTTGCTCAGTGGGGGTTCTACCCTCTAACAGGAAGTGCGGCTCAGAGAGAAGTTTGTAAGGTAACAAAACAGGCATCCAGATGGGCCTGGTTGGCCTCAAAATTGCCTCTAGAACTGTGTTTCTCAAACTTAATGTGCTTAACAACCAGCTGGGGGGGGGGGGCTTGTTAAAATGCAGATCCTAATTAAGTAGGTCTGGCTGAGGCCTGAGATTCTGCATTTCTGGCCAGCTCCCCAGAGATGCTGATGGTACCCGTCCAAGGACTAGATTTTGGTAGCTAAGCTCTTGGATACTTTCAAGGCAGAGAGCACGTCTTGACCAGGGGAGGGTAGAGAAGCCCTCTCTGTGGTCTAGCCTCCTAAAAGGGCAATCTTGGGGTCAGAGTCGTCTATAAGCCACAAGCGCCCCCAAAGAGGGTGATGGTGGCTCAGGAAGGAGGTGACCCTCTGGAGGTACCACAAGCTTAACATGTCGGTTTCTCTCAGTAAACGGTTTCCTGGAGGAAACATCACTGAAAGGGCGGTGTCAAGTTCTAAGTGTTTGGGTGCCCAGTAGGACTCAGCAACTCAGAATTTGTTCACAAACCTGGTTTGTGGAGCAGGAACTAGACACTGACCTGCTGCAAACGTGTCTAGAATTAATCCACTCTGCCCCACCTACCCCTCCACAAATGCTGTCCGGCTTCCACTCCTCTAGGGGAAAGGTGATTGCAGTCTGAGACTCCCCAGCTGTGACTCATCTACAGAATCAAATCTGATCCCTGAAGCGCAGGATTCAAGAGGCTTTGACCTCCCCCCTCTGCCCAACCCACATTTCCAAGCCTCACCTCTCTGGAGACCTCCCACCCTTTCCTGTCTCTCCTGTCTCTGGCTTCAGATGTGTCCCCAGCTTAACCGGCCTCAACCCTTCCAGATGCAGTTGCGCTTCTCTATCTCCATCGCTTCGGTATTCTCACCAGGATCTGGGTGGCGTCTCTTAAAAGTATTCCTAGTATCACAGGTTTACCGCGGATGTCTCGTCTCGGATGCTAAAGACCTGTAAGCTCCCCTTTGTCTCCCCCTGCGGCGCCGAGAGCCGTGCGGGGCGCACAGGAAGTGCTCAGAAACTTAGCTCGGGAGCAGCAGCCCTGCCCAGAGGAGGCGTCTGGCGCGCAGGGACTCAGCTGGGCTGAGTGAGGGTACCACCATCACCACTCCCAACCCGCAAAAAACAAGGGTCACCAGGACGGGAGCCTAGAACCCAGAGTTCGGGGCCGGGGAGCCCCTCTGCAGTCTTCCGGATCGTGGCCAAACTGACCAGGGCCAGCGCCCCTTGCTTCCGGAGCCGCTCCACGCGCCCCGGGCCACCTACCCCCAGCGCCCTCACCTTGTAAACCTTGCCGAAGGCACCGTCGCCCAGCTCGCCCACGATCTCCCACACCTCGTTGGGGTCCACGTCCCGGCGGACGTGTTCATATTCGCGGGACTTTCTCTTCTCGAAGGTAGACAGTCGCAGGATGCGGCGGAAATTGGCTAAAGCCATGGCTGGGGGCGAGGTGGAGCCGGCTAGCGCTCGGGCTGGGGCTCCGGCGGCCGCGAGGAGGAGGAGCTGGAGGACGCCGCGGCGCTAGGGGATTCTCCCCAGA